GTTTAACGAAATAACAAGACCAACTGAAGCTGGAGGTTCTTGTATAGATAATGTGATTACAAATGCAAAAGAAAATGTTAAAGAAGTAAAAATAACTGAACTAAACTTTACTGATCACAAGGCAATCGGGGTATATACTGAATGGAATGAAAATATGAAAGTGAAGGCTAATAGAACTTACGTACGAAAAATAAATGATGAAACAATAGAGGAACTAAAGTACTTTTTGTCTAAAGAAAAATGGCAAGATGTCTATGAATGTTCAGATCCTGATAAGGCTTGTAGTAAATTCATTGATATTTTTAAATACCATTTCAATGTAGCCTGTCCATTATTACCCCAAAACATGGAAAAAAAGAATGTTAAGATTAAAAAAACTACTGAAATAGATAAGTTAGAAACTGCAATGGCCTTGCTAAAATATAGTAATTCTATTGATAATCAAAAAGAAAAAAGAAAAAAGATTAAAAAGTGTTCAAAAAGTTTAAAGAAAGCCTATGATCTTGCAGCTAAACAATACTATTCAGACAAGATAAAAAAAGCACCAAATATGGCTAAAGAAACCTGGAATATAATAAAAAGAAATACAAACAATGCAGAAACTAAAGCCAAAAAAATAGAGATAATGATCAACGGAATAGTGAGTAAAGACCAATTACAGATAGCAGAAGCTTTTAACAAATATTATATAGAAGTACCTAAAACCATAAATGAAAGAATTGATGATAAACAATTTAACTCTGAGAACTTAAAGTCAATAAACAACTCAATATTTATAAAGGAGTGCTCCGAGAGAGATGTATGTAAGGCAATCCAAAAACTTAAGAATAAGAAATCATCCGGACTAGATGGAATTTCTAATGTCATTGTAAAGAAATGTATGAGTCAAATTGTTCAACCACTAACATATGTGTTTAAAATATCTATTGAGCTTGGTGTATTTCCTTCTAGTCTAAAAAATGCTGTGATAACTCCTCTGTTTAAAAAGGATGATAAGATGAATGTAAAAAACTATAGACCTGTAGCTATAACATCTCCGTTTTCAAAACTATTGGAAACAATAATTTTAGAATCGATCACTAGCTTCTTTACAAAAAATAATGTTATCACAAAACAACTATTTGGATACCAAAAGTGTAAATCGACAACCGATGCTATTACGCTGCTTGTAACTAAGATCAACAACAGTAGAAATGAAAAAAATAAAGTAGCAGCCATCTTTTTGGATTTAAGTAAAGCGTTCGATTGTGTGAAACCTGATACACTCTTATCCATTCTGTACAGATATGGTATAAGAGGTGTACAATACGATTTGTTAAAATCCTATCTCACAAAAAGGTATCAATGTGTTAAATTACAAGATCTAGACAAGAATGGAAGCATAGTTGATATAATTTCAGAACTACTAGAGGTAGAATACGGAGTTCCTCAAGGCTCAATCATGGGACCATATCTGTTCATAATATATACGAACTGTATCGCACATTTGATATCCGAACTGGGAGCAGAAGCCATTATGTATGTAGACGATACAACAATTTTAGTTACAAGTGAAAATTATGAGGAACTACAGTCAAAAATTACAAATATCTTGGAACAGCTTAAGAGATTTTTCAACACATTAAACCTGGAACTCACTTGGAGTAAAACTGTCTTTATGTTGTTTGGTAACGAAAAAATTAATTTAGACATAAATCTTGATAATGTAAAACTTGAACAAGTAGAGTCAACCAAATTCTTAGGTATTGAGCTCCAAAGTAATCTAAAATGGGATAAATATATACAGTCCACCCTAAAAAACCTTAGTAAGGGCTACTTTATATTAACTCAAATCAATCAAATAATGGAAAAAAAGGACTGTTTAAAAATATACCATGCTTTCTTTCACTCCTACTTAAACTATGGAAATATGTTATGGTCTAACGAATTAGGAAACAAAAAAACGTTCTTAAAAATGTTTAGGAGACAAAAGAGAGCTATAAGATTGATAAAATTTGGAAAAGCTAGCAGAATGCAGTCTTGTAGAGGCCTCTTTAGGGAACACCATATTTTAACACTAGCTTCTATTCATATTTATCAATGTGCAGTGTATGCCTTCAAGTACCTGAGAGGCGAGACTAATGGAAAGATACATCAATATAACACCAGAGGAAAAAATGATTTGCACAAAGACAAGAAACATATTAAATCTTTTCAAGCTGTTCTCATAGATGTTTTTAACAGAATACCAACATATGTCAGGAACACTGAGTGCCTAAAGTCTTTTAAAAATAGTTTAAGAAAATGGCTTATTGAAAAAGAATTTTACTCCATTGAGGATTTTAAAGCAGAATCAGAGAAGAAAAATACATTTTAAAAGCTCTTTTATTGTTAATTGTTTCTAGTATGCCTGT